CATAGGCCCCAGATAGCCAACATATCCCCAACATATGCCCAACATAGCCTCCAAGATGGGTCAACATAGGGCCAACATAGGCCAACATGGGGCCAACATACGCCAACATAGGCCCAACATAGGCCCAACCTAGGCCAACATAGGCCAACATAGGCCTAACATAGGCCGACCTAGGCCCAACATAGGTTCAACTTGGGCCCAAGATGTGCCCAACATAGACCACATGGGCTCAACTTGGCCCAACCTAGGGCCAAGATGCGCACCAGATAGCTTAACTTTGCTCAATACAGGCCCCACCAAGTCTCAAAGCGAGAGAGAGAGAGAGAGAAAGAGAGGACCCAGCCCTGCGCATACCCAAACCCAAATAGGCCGGCGCCCGGCTGTCAGGCGTAAGCTCCGGGCGCCGGCCACGGGCCCGTGTCCTTGCCGGAGGCCTTCGGTGGTAACCGAAGGTTATATACGCTCGCCGCCCCTGCCGCCGACCCTTTTGTTGGACCGCGGGGATACCTCCGCCCGACCTCCGCCCGACCCCCGCCCGACCCCCGCCCGAATCCGGTCGACGGATGTATATGTATCTACCAATTTTTTTGCGTAGGATGTTCAAAAACACCGTGTTTTACAGTGTTTCGTGGCCACGACTTTCGCCTAACAGGGCGCCGGTGGTGTCGGTTATGCGTGCCGTGCGGACAGGCTTAATCGACATTTCGTGGGTGTTGGGCACATAAGTTGCCTAACATATCCCTAACATAGGCCCAAGATAGCCAACATATCCCCAACATATGCCCAACATAGCCTCCAAGATGGCTCAACATAGGGCCAACATAGGCCCATGGGGCCAACATACGCCAACATAGGCCCAACATAGGCCCAACCTAGGCCAACATAGGCCTAACATAGGCCAACCTAGGCCCAACATAGGCTCAACTTGGGCCCAAGATGTGCCCAACATAGACCACATGGGCGCAACTTGGCCCAACCTAGGGCCAAGATGCGCACCAGATAGCTTAACTTTGCTCGATATAGGCCCCACCAAGTCTCAAAGAGAGAGAGAGAGAGACAGAGAGAGAGAGAGAGAGACAGAGAGAGAGACAGAGAGAGAGAGAGAGAGAGACAGACAGAGAGAGAGAGAGAGGGAGAGAGACAGAGAGACAGAGAGAGAGCGGGGAACCAGCCCTGCACAAACCCAAACCCAAATAGGCCGGCGCCCGGCTGTCAGGCGTAAGCCTCATAATCCGGGCGCCGGCCACGAAGCCCGTGCCCTGCCCGGAGGGCCTTCGGTGGTAACCGAAGGTTATATACGGGCGCGCCCCCTTGCCGCCGACCCTCGGTCCCAAAACGGGCGGACCACCGGGTCACTGAAGCCCCTGTAATTTACAGTGTATCGTGTGTGTGTGAAGTATAAAAAACACTGTGTTTTACAGGGTTTATTGCGCATATCGAAGTACGACGCGGGGAAAAGGAAAAAATGCAAAAATGCTGTGTTTTTCAAGGGTGGTGTCGGTAATGCGGGCCGGGCGGACAGGCTTAATCGACATTTTGTGGGTAGAGGCCCTCCAGACGACTGACATTTCCTAACATATCCTCAACATAGGCCCAAGATAGCCAACATATCCCCAACATATGCCCAACCTAGCCTCCAAGATGGCCCAACATAGGGCCAACATAGGCCAACATGGGGCCAACATAGGCCCAACATAGGCCCAACCTCGGCCAACATAGGCCAACATAGGCTCAACATAGGCTCAACATGGGCCCAAGATGTGCCCAACATAGACCACATGGGCCTAAATTAGGGCCAAGATGCGCACCAGATAGCTTAACTTGTGCCCCAGACCCCGGCCCCCGTCTCCAACGCCGAGCAGTTTCCCACCTTGCCCCCACCCAGGGCCCTGTACGCCCCCGATAGCTGCACGTGCACCCGACCCAGCCCTATACAGACCCTAGTGTGCCGGCGCCCGGCTGTTAGGCGTAAGCCTTTAAATTATTTGTTGTTTGCATGTTTTGTCCGTTGTCCTACTTAATTAAGTGGGTGCCTACTTAATATTTATATAATTAAGTAAGATAAGGGCAAAACAGGACGTTCCTAGCTAGGATGCAACCAAGCTTTCGCACTAATCACTTTGCTCCCAGATTTTTTAGGGAAACTTCAGTTTTAGCTTCTCTATGTGTTGGATTATTCTCACACTTCATGGTCTACACACCTGTTATATAGACAAGTGGAACACGGGGAGGAGATTGCCAAGTGGCACCGGATGCTTAGGTGGAGCGAAACTGTTTGCGTTGGCCTTAAGCAGTCTCGGGAATTGTCTCCTCGACGATGCGGCTTTCCAAGCGTCAGTCAGCAAATCGCATTTAACTTTCACTCGTGGAGGCTCAAAAGAGACTAAGCTTAAAAATGATTGACCCGCCCATGTTTACTCTAACAAAGCCCGTGCCCCAAATGAAGCTTAGGCTTAGGCCTTAGGCCACAATCCAAGTGCCCCAACACCCACAAAGGCCGAGCTGTACAGCAGCCCCAGGGCCGCCGCCAAACCGGCCAGCCTGGGTTGCTAGCGCAGGGTTTGCGAAACATCAAGAACATCAAAGAGCTCGAACGGCAAGGACGCAAGTTTTAGACCTCTACAAGTAGGCTTCATAGGACAGGATGGTTTGGGCGGTTGGGCACCTAAATACGAACTCACTGTGTCTTAGATAGGACCTCAAAATGTTCTGAGGCCTGCGCACACCAGTGCGAATCAGCGCACTGCTACGTGCCATGGTAACCTGGCAACGATACCCACACTAGTCCGTGAAGGATACTCTAGTGTCGCATGCAAGATGCGTTGCACAGAGTGCATGCAATTTGTCGATCTGTACAAATTGAATGCTCGGAAGGAAAACTCTTGCGGAAAGGGCTTTTGAGCCTCATACCCATCGGATTTGCTGACAGCTTGACTGCGTAACAACAGGCCAGTCACACCTGAACCGTCGGCGCTAAAGCTGAAAGTCCGACCCAAAGAGGCTGCGTTCAGACCGCCGGAAGTCGTAAGGACCGCAAGGGATAGAGATGGGTTGATCGACTCAGAGGGATTCCCCAGACAGCTTCCACCAAGATTCACAGTTACCATCACTTGAAGCAAATCAGACTAATGAAATGTGTTGGTTTCCGCTTGTTTCACCAGGATCCAATAGTAGAGTTCTGGCCTCAAAGGTAGGGCAACTACTCAAAACTGTATTGGTGCATCAGGGTAGGCACCCCGAACGCCGTCTTCTTCAGGCGCTTGAGGAAAGGCTGGAACTCGAACATCACTGCCTGTGGCAATGAGATCTTCCAGGGTGTTCATTCAAACATCGCCATATCCCAGGCCTATAGAAGGCTTGACAACATCAGCATGAGCAAGTTCGCGTGGTCCGACACAGTATGCGTGGTCTGTATTTGGGCCAGGGACCAATAATTAGGAATGCTTGTTGAGCCTTCCGACAACTGGCTGTGGCTCCCTTGGAACCTCTCAGACCTTGCCTTAGCGTCGCTGTGTACCTGCGACAAAAGCGACCTCATGTCACCTCCCTTAATGGATTCACAGAATCGTTCCGTTCATTCTGTCTTCACAGAATCCGAAAAAGGTAGGTGCAAGCGCACTTGTTTCTGGAAGGGCTCCAGACTGTACGCAGCGAGAAGCTCCTACAATGGCAGGGCCCAGTCAAAATGATATATATATATATGTATAGTTCTTCGCCTTCACTCCGAACTCTAACAGGACTGGTCTCTGACAGCATTCTGACCGTACACCTCTTTTTCCGCATCGAGTACTCTAGCCATCTACAACCTGGCTAAAACATTGGTCTTTCCATGCAGCGCTGCCACTTTCGTCAGTTCCACATGGCCTGTTTCAACTGGACAAACAAACATGTAAGTGGGGAAAACTATCAAAAGGACCAGTAGGTTCGTTCCACAAGGACATGCAGGCAGTCGCGAATCAGTCTGCGGCTCTTTCTTCGCAAACCTTGATGCATCACACCTGATGACCTGCTCTTGCAAACTCTGAATTCTGCGAGTCACGCCCCTCACCAATGTTCAGTCCAATGCATCCAAACCCAGCGGGTCCTGTGCCTGAAGCAAGCAAAGCACTGTAGTTTTGAAAACTCGGTCTGTTGATATGGAGCGTTGAAGGCCGTGCCCTTTGCCCCAGAAAGTCAAATCATCTCAAACCTATATAGCAAGTGTAAAATCTGGATGTAAGCAGCTACCATCCTCACTCCCAAAGCTGCCTTGGCGGGTGGACCAGGTTTTGAGGGCTCTAGCAGCTTGTCCTCTTTCGGCAGCTCCGGCGGTTGCCCCTTTGGCACTGCCGCTCGTGGCCGCTCTGGCGGCTGGAAAACAGGGTCTGCCCGGAGAGGTGCAGCGGCCGCCTCGGTCTCTGCCTGTGGACCCTGTGGGCCTTGTGGGCTTGGAACAGGTTGGCCTTGGGCCCTGTTTCCCATCGGCTTTTCAACCTTGGCACGCTCGGGTGGTTGGAAGATCGGAGCATTGCGCTCAGCCACAGGTGCAGTAGGTGCAGTGCGTTGTGGTGCCTCTACTGCTTTTACCGCAGGGGTCTTAGAGCCAATTGGTTTGGCCGGCTTGACACCCGTGGCCACACCAGACTCTGGTAGCTTCAGCACCTCAGTATTTCAATTTGCCCACAGCCAAAAGCAGCATGTGGAGTTGCTACATTCACGCATGGTTCAGACTCGAATTCGCCGAGCTAGAAATTCATAAACTTAGTGCATGTACCCAAGCATTCAGAACTACCTTGCCAGAATTTGACCTGAAGCAAAGCTGCACATCTTCTGAATTTGTCCACAAATACACAGCTTCTCTCAGCACCATTGCACTGTGTTGCACTGTCATTGCGGCAACTGGCAGATAGAAGTAAGTGTTGGGGCCAGACTACCTACTGAAGGTCTGTTGTGACTCATGACTCATGACCTTTTTGTTCCGCAGAAATGTAGACAGATCCACCAGCGTTCGGTTAGGGCTTTTCTCCATGGTACAGATTCTCTACGGCACAAACCCTCAGGCACAGTGGTTCAAACTCCAGCAAGTGTAAGAATCAAAGTATTCCGCGTACAAAATGCGCGCTTCTCTGGCACCAACCTTTAGTGTCAGTGGGACCAAAGGAACCTCAAGCAGTTGAGATATATAATCATCACGTTCAACTGGGTAATAACTACGTCCTTCCCTTCCACGCCCAGCCACAACTCCACGCTTTTCGTCCGACACAAAGATACTGCCATGATGATCGACAGCCAAGCCCCACCTAAAGCTGAAGCAAAAAATTGCAGTTGGCATAAGTTAAGCCAACATAGAAACTGATTGGTACCCCTCCACAGCAAAAAAATCTGCCTCTTTGGCAGTTGTGATCTTTGCTCAAAAAACGCAAAATTATGTTTTTTCTTGCCAATACCCAGGTGTACGCTAGGTGCAAGGACCACAAGGCTTGACTGATTGAGAGTTCGAGAGAGTAGTTTGGAATCATATCAGGAATATTCAGGAACCTAGTCCAGTCACTGGTCCTCAACAGGAAAGAATCGGGATGCTTCACAGTCAGGTGATCCTGGTCCAGATTCCTTGTTGAGAAAGGACGTGCCCTTCAAGGAGCTACTGCCACGTTGGCGAAGCTTGCAATCAGGGCACGGTCGTTCCACCAGGTCGGGCCCCAGAACCAACTCTCCTTGACCTGTCGAACTGTCACAGAACAAGCTACAAGGATAGCTCTAGGCTGGCAACTTTGGTAGACTTCCCAAAGAAACAATTTCGCTATGGATTTTTGGCTGTGAGAAACTCAGGATGTTTGCAAGAAAGTCCTTTCACTTTTGTTTGCACCGATTTGATGGAGAAAAGTGTTGATTCATCCATCCTGGAAACGGACGACTAATTATCGAAATAGTCCAAGAAATTCATTGAGTGTTTTTCTCAAAACATGATCTCTGGTGAATGGTGTGAAGTTTTGTAAAACAAGGAGTTGGCTTGGACCTTCTGTGAAGAATCCATCGTATTCTTGCTTGACAGTGGTTTAAATTATGTACATGAATGCACGTGCAGGCCCGAAACCATAATGATGGAGAAACATCCCCTGAGTTCGATTAGTCTAGCCACTCTTCATGGATGTTGAGTGGTGTCTCACCTACACGCACATTAGATCAACTCTGCTTTTCACCTGTCTCTATTGGACGAAACATCACATGTACGGCACCTTCCCGGAAACGTAGCACGCGGGCATTGCCACGGTCAGCCACTAGGAAGCTACCATCAGCTTCCACCACCAAGCCTGAAGCAACGCCCCAGACACCAACGATTTAGCCAAGTGGTTGGGTAGTTGGCCTTGTGTCAACAAAGCTGCGAGGTCTCTCAGTTGGTCTTTGAGCTTCACTTCTCGAACTCTGCTGCCAAGCACCTGTGGGCATCGAGAGCTCCATCAAAGAGCTCCCAGCTTTGCCCTCGCAGGACCCAGCCACTGTCTCACCTGCGAGATGCACCACACTCACCACAACTCTGAAACACTGAGTTTCAGTGACTAGTTGGCTTGTGAGATCTTGTGGGCAGGCAAGTAGTTTTCTCCACCTGCCAGGTGAGGGTTGGGCTTTATGAGAGCTGCAGTGGGCCCGCCGGCCCTCAACCACAAGTACTACATCGCAGTGGGCACCGACGCCCCTCAACCACAAGCACTAGATCGCAGTGGGCACCGCCGGTCCTCAACCGCGAGCGCTCAATCGCAGTGGGCACTACCGGACCTAGCAGATAGAAAGAATGCCAGAATATACGCCAGATAGAATGCCGGATGCACGCCAGATAGAATGCTGGAGGGATGGAATGCCAAAAAATATGCCTGTATATATGCAAGATAGACACGTTCGTGGTGATGTTGAAGCAATATGGCTGTCGGTAGTATAACAAACACCATGGTGGGGATCACTCATTTAAAGTACTCATTGCCAAGTGATTCATCTTGCGCAATCTTCTACCTGCATGGGCATGAAGGGTGAAATCGCATCCATCCAACTGTCTGGCATCTGCCCAACAAATATGTATACAGATCTAAAGTATTTCTGCATGCATGTATAATATGTATGTATGTATGTATGTATGTGTGTATGTGTGTATGTGTGTATGTATGTATGTATGTATGTATGTATGTATGTATGTATGTATGT